ATTTTTTATTATCGCATATTATGTGAGTACAAATACGCATCTTTGAATTGTTTCTCTTGGTGGTTTTTATAACACGATATTTTTATTTAATATTTTTTTGAACAACCGAATGGGGAAAAGGGGTTTCCACAAATATTCCTTAGGTGCTTTGGGTTTGAACCTCTACCCACAAGGGTGGAGGTGGAAGAGCTCAACGACCTGAGCTATACCCCACTAGAAAACACGAGATTTACATTTAGCACATATTAGTTTATAGAGCTTGATATTTCCATCAGTAGGATCAATCAGTTGCTTTGAATATGTTGTAAGATTAAAGAAGAAGTCTCCTTCTCAGCTCATAGTGCTACACTGTAATGAAATGAGTATTATTCCATGTCTTCTCTATCTGCCTATGATCATGTAAATTTTTGGGCTGTTCCCTGGTAACTCAAATTTGAATCAAGATCATACCAAGGCTATAAATATCGCTTATCCAAGTCTCAACCAAGTATTATGTGTGGGTTATGTTGAATTTCGGTCAAAGGTGCCGAGTCCAATGCTTTGCTAACTTAGGATCCTCAAATGAATACTATCATCACTAACTGCAAGTTCAACTCCTTAAGGCACCTACACATACTGCGTAGTATTATGTTACCCATATGTATATCTAGACTAACTTTTGTTATTGTAAAATTTTGAAAACCTTGAAGGGGACTTGGTATTAAAACGTTTTTCAAAATTTTATTGTTTTTAATTTTTAATTACATTTTAATTCTTTTGACCTAATTCCTCTTTATTTATTGTGGGGTTATAATATCTTAATTTTCAGCTTGCATTTTTATATTCAATGCTATAATTTTCTTGGATGTCTATAAAAGGCTAATCCTCCTTCACATTTGACACACAACTGAGTTTCATTCTCTGTATTTCTCTTCTACTCTTTCATATACATTCTGTATTTTCTACCATTATTTTTGGGCAGGTTCAATGTCTTAGAGGCATATATCTGACTTTGAACGTATGCGCTCATAACATACCTTCAGCGTGTATATTTGGAATCGTATCTTGGAGTCTTGTAGACCGTCAGTACTTTCACCCTTAGTATAGGAAGGCAAGGCGGTCGCCTAGGGCCTCCAAATCGAAAAGGCCGCCAACTTTTATAAACCTCTATATATACATATGTATGTTACTATAAAAATTATACTATATTATATTAAGTCCAAGTACTTTTTTTATAAATAAAAAAGCCTAATTATTTACTCTAAAATTAAAAAATGGAAACTTAATAAGGGACCAATTTTTTTTAAAGTTAAACCAGTTTAATAAGTTAACCTAGTTGAATAGGTTAACCTAGTAGCATATACGTTAGATGGGAAAATCCGCCCTAATCAACACAAGAAAAAAAAAATGCGGTTTATTATTGAATATCTACTGCAAGAGGAAAAGATCTTCGAGGAAGAAAAAGAAGGTAAAAACCCCCAAGACTATTCCTTATATTTTATATTGAAAAATACATGGTAGAACAAATTAATTGTGCAAAGTTAATTGATACTTTGGCATCGAAAAATGCATGACGAGTGATGTTTTGATGCATTTTATAAAGTTTTTATGCGAATTACTATTTGTTCGTTTCTTTTTAGGTTACAATTTTGACTTTGAGTTCGTATAAGTTTTTTTATCTTATAAAAATAAAAATCGCACAAATATACATAGAGAGTAAAATGCCACATTTTGGTAGCTTGGTAGAACCTTTTCATTCTAGTTACCGAAGAACCAATTTGAAAAAGTTGAATGGAATTTCTAAATTTGACTTTTCTAAACCATAAGTCCAATTAAAGGTATACTACCAGCGTTTCTCTTTGAGCCACACCAATAATCAATAACAAAAAATAACAATTCAAGCTTAATCCCCAGCAAAATTGCCTAAAGTTGGCAAAGAAAATCACATTAAATAGAAGGTTTCTCAGTCTCGTACTCATCATCTCCTCCAAAATCCTCTCTCTCTCTCTCTCTCTCTCTCTCTCTCATAGTCCTCATTATCCTAGTCTAGAGCCATTTATAATTTGTTTTGAAGATCAAATGGCCATGTCCAAGGCATTTACACTTTGTATTGTTGCTCTCTTGGTGTGCTCGATTTGCAGTGAAACAACGAATGCAAAATATATCGGTTATGGGACAACACGCCGTGATCAGCCGTTTGGATGCAACGGGCAAAGGTGCATGCCTGCACGATCCCACTCTTATAACAGAGGTTGTGAGAAGGAGAATGAGTGCAGAGGTGGTGGTCGTAAACTAAAATGAGTCTTCCGAAGCACAACATATAACCAAGAAGGGGAGACACCAAGAAATGGTGCTTAAAACACTAAACAAGGAATGCCCATTCTTTTACATAAATGTATTTATTATACTACTCTACATCTAGCCATATTGTGAACATGATGTAATAAAGAACAACATTATTTAATCAATTTTTAAAGAGTTCAACGTGTTGGCAATCTTTTTTAATAATTGATTCATGTTTTTGTTTTTGTTTTTAGTTCACCATATGAAAACATTAAACTACATTTACTTAATCATACTCGAACATCTTAAGGTAAAAGGATAAATCTATTTGAGTAAGATATGTGAGATTTTCAAAGGACAAATTTTATGCACGTAAATCTTACTTCTATGAGAAAAGTAGTTTGCAATTTTGTTGATGAATATGGTAAATTTATCATTCTCGATTATGAGCACTTCATGTGAGATGTTCTATGCATCGGAAATTTGTTTGTTGGTACTATATAACGGACTCGTCCTCTTATGAATCTTTTAAATTGATAAAATACCAAAGTTACAACCTTTTGGTAGGTCTAAATCTTGTTCAATCCCAAAAACTTGTAACATTTGAACATGTCCAATAATGCAGTAATTTTTATTTATTTATTGTCTATTATGTGAGTACAAATACGCATCTTTGAATTGTTTTTTTTTGTGGTATTTATAACACGATATTTTTATTTAATTATTTTTTGTCCAACAGATTGGGGAAAAGGGGTTTACTCAAATATTCCTTAGGGGCCTGGGGTTCGAACCTTTACCCATAAGGGTGGAAGTGGAAGAGCTCAACGACCTGAGCTATACCCCACTAGAAAACACGAGATTTACATTTAGCATATATTAGTCTATAGAGCTTGATATTTCCATTAGTAGGATCGATCAGTTGCTTTGAATATGTTGTAAGATTAAAGAAGAAGTCTCCTTGTCAACTCATAGTGCTACACTGTAATCAAATGAGTATTATTCCATGTCTTCTCTATCTGTCTATGATCATGTGAATTTTTGGGCTGTTCCCTAGTAACTCAAATGAGAATCAAGATCATACCAAGGCTATAAATATCATTGTTTCGCTTATCCAAGTCTCAACCAAGTATTATGTGTGGTTTATGTTGAATTTCGGTCAAAGGTGCCAAGTCCAGTGCTTGTTAACTTTGGATCCTCAAATGAATACTATCATCACTAACTGCAGGTTCAAGTAAGAAAGGCACCTACACATACTGCGTAGTATTATGTTACCCATATGTATATTTAGGCAAACTTTTGTTATTGTAAAATTTTGAAAACCTTGAAGGGGACTTGATATTAAAACGTTTGTCAAATTTTTATTGTTTTTAATTTTTAATTCTTTTGACCAAATTCCTCTTTATTTATTCTGGGGTTATAATATCTTAATTTTCAGCTTGTATTTCTATATTCAATGCTATAGTTTTCTGTTTAATGGGATTGGATGTCTGTAAAAAACTATTCCTCCTTCACATTTGACACACAACTAGAGTTTGATGTTCTGTACTTCTCTTCTACTACTTTCATATACATTCTGCATTTTCTACTATTATTTTTGGATAGGTTCAGTGTCTTAGAGGCATATGTCTGACTTTGAACATATGTGCTCAAAACACACCCTGAGCATGTATATTTGAGATCATATCTTGGACTCTTGTAGACCGTCAGTACTTCCACCCTTAGTATAGGCGGGCAAGGCGGTCACCTAGGGCCTCCAAATCGAAACGGCCGCAAACTTTTTGTAAACCTCTATATATACATATGTATGTTACTTTAAAAATTATACTCTATTAATATTATATTAAGCCCAGTATTTTTTTTTTTTTTTTTTTTTTTTTTTTTTTTTTTTTTTAAAAAAAAAAAAAAAAGCCCAATCTAATTATTTATTACTATTTAAAATAAAAAATAGTAAATTAAAAAAGGACCAAATCAATTTTAAAGTTAAACCAGTTTAAGTTAAGTTAACCTAGTTAGAATAGGTTAACCTAGTTAGCACCTATTACGTTAGATGGGAAAATCTGCTCTAAACAACACAATAAAAAAAAAAACAAGAAGTTTATTATTGAATGTCTACTGCAAGAGGAAAAGATCTTCGAGGAAGAAAAAGAAGGTAAAAACCCCCAACACAATTCCTTATATTTTATATTGAAAAATACATGGTAGAACAAATTGATTATGCAAAGTTAATTGATACTTTGGCATCGAAAAATGCATAACGAGTGATGTTTTGATGCATTTTATAAAGTTGTTATGTGAATTACATTTTGTTCGTTTCTTTTTTTGTTACAATTCTAACTTTGAGTTTGTATAAGTTTTTTAACTTATCGGAAAAAAAATCGCACAAATATACATAGAAAGTAGAAGGCCACATTTTGGTAGCGTGGCAGAACCTTTTCATTCAAGTTACTGAACAACCAAATGGAAAAAGTTGAATGGAGAATTTCTAAATTTGGCTCTTCAAAACCATAAGTCCAATTAAAGTTATACTACCAGTGTGTCTCTTTGAGCCACACCAATAATCAATAACAAAAAATAACAATTCAGGTTTAATCTCCAGCAAAATTGCCTAAAGTTAGCAAAGAACATCACATAAATTGAAGGTTTCTCAGTCTCGTAATCATCATCTCCTCCAAAATCCTCTCTCTCATAGTCCTCATTATCCAATTCTAGAGCCATTTGTAATTTGTTTTTAAGATCAAATGGCCATCTCCAAGACATTTACACTTTGCATTGTTGCTCTCTTGGTGTGCTCGATTTGCAGTGAAACAACGAATGCAAAATATATCGGTTATGGGACAATACGCCGTGATCAGCCGTTTGGATGCAACGGGCAAAGGTGCATGCCTGCACGATCCCACTCTTATAACAGAGGTTGTGAGAAGGAGAATGAGTGCAGAGGTGGTGGTCGTAAACTAAAATGAGTCTTCCGAAGTGCAACATATAACCAAGAAGGGGAGACACCAAGAAATGGTGCTTAAAACACTAAAGAGGGATGCCCATTCTTTTACATAAAATATATTTATTATACTACTCTTCATCTAGCCATATTGTGAACATGATGTAATAAAGAACAACATTATTTAATCAATTTCTAAAGAGTTCAACGTGTTGGCAATCTTTTTTAATAATTTATTCAAGTTTTTGTTTTCGGTTTTGGTCACCATATGTAAACATTAAATTACATTTACTTACTCATACTCAGACGTCTTAAGGTAAAAGAAAAAATCTATTTGAGGAAGATATATGAGATTTTCAAATGACCAATTTTATGCAAGTAAATCTTACTTCTCCATGAGAAAAGTGGTTTGCGATTTTGTTGACGAATATGGTAAATTTATGAATATTTTAAACTGATAAAATACCAAAGTTACAACCTTTTGGTAGGTCTAAATCTCATTTAATCCCGACAACATCTAACATTTGAACATGTCCAATAATGTTTTTTTTTTTTTTTTTTTTTTTTTTTTTTTTTATGTGAGTACAAATACGCAAATCTTTGAATTGTTTTCTCTTAATGGCATTGATAACACAATATTTTTATTTAATATTTTTTTGTCCAATCGATTGGGGAAAAGGGGTTTGCGCAAATATTCCTTAGGTGCCTGGGGTTCGAACATCTACCCACAAGGGTGGATGTGGAAGAGCTCAATGACCTGAGCTATACCCTACTAGAAAACACGAGATTTACATTTAGCATATCTTAATTTATAGAGCTTGATATTTCCATCGAAAGGATCGATCAGTTGCTTTGAATATGTTGTAAGATCAAAGAAAAAGTCTCCTTGTCAACTCATAGTGCTACACTGTAATCAAATGAGTATTATTCCATGTCTTCTCTATCTGTCTATGATCATGTAAATTTTTGGGTTGTTCCCTAGTAGCTCACATGAGAATCAAGATCATACCAGTTATTTCGCTTATCAAAGTCTCAACCAAGTATTATGTGTGGGTTATGTTGAATTTTGGTCAAAGGTGCTGAGTCCAATGCTTTGTTAACATAGGATCCTCAAACGAATATTATCATCACTAAGTGTAGGTTCAAGTCCAAAAGGCACCTACACATACTGCTTAGTATTATGTTACCGATATGTATATTTAGACTAACTTTTGTTATTATAAAATTTTGAAAACCTTGAAGGGGACTTAGTATTAAAACGTTTTTCAAAATTTTATTGTTTTTAATTTTTAATTAAATTTTAATTCTTTTGACCAAATTCCTCTTTATTTATTGTGGGGTTATAATATCTTAATTTTCCGCTAGTATTTTTATATTCAATGCTATAATTTTCTGTTTAATAGGATTGGATGTCTGTAAAAGGTTATTCCTCCTTCACATTTGACACACAACTAGAGTTTGATTCTTTGTATTTCTCTTCTACTACTTTCATATATATTCTATAATTTCTACTATTATTTTTGGACAGATTCAGTGTCTTAGAGGCATATATCTGACTTTGAACGTATGTGCTCATAACACACCTTGAGTGTGCACATTTAGGATCGTATCTTGGATTCTTGTGAACCGTCAGTACAGAACCCTTAGTATAGGCTGGCAAGGCCACCATCTAGGGCCTCCACCTGCACTCGCTCCTCCACTCGGACCCACGACAAAGAACATCTACCTGATGCACACCGCTGAGCCTCCTCGTGGTCCCGTGGCTACAGCAACTCCGCAGCCGCATAGCTACGACGTCGGATCTAGCAACCGCCACCTACTCGACCTCACGGCGGGATTTGATGCTCTTCACCACGACTGTGGTTTCGCTCTCCGTCCCAAAGATCGCCACTCACAACCATCTTAGCGTCGCCCCAAACTTGAGCTTTTTTGTGGAACAACTTCATTCATTTCCTCCTTTGTATCTGCGCTCGACGTACGCTCCCGTGTACACCTCTGACAAGCAAACCTCAGTCTTAGAGTTGACTAACTGGCTCAAAAAGTGGACGACTAAAACAACTTGGTTGGATAGCTCCTCAACTAGATTGATATGGTCCAAGACCTTGGCCTTGGACCGCAAGACGAAGAGAGAATGATGGACGAACGCACTTGCAGGCAGTTCGAGAGGTCTCATGTAGGTCGAGCAAGTGCATGCTGACAAGGAGAAGGACAAGAGCATGTTCAGCCCGTTGGCATGCCTCAAGCATGCACGAGAGGTTGGGCCCACGATCTGATGTTCACACCTGCATGGGCCTGCGAAGAAGCATTTACGTGAGACTAGGCCCCCGGGGAGATCAGCCTCACGATCATCCCCATGAAGTACAAAAATAAAGACGTCCACATGCTCAGTCTTAAGGAGCCAACTCAAGACAACAGGCTACAGAGGGTCCCTCGCAAGCTCAGTCTACCAACACATCGCGCAAGCTGAAAAATCGAAGAGATCTGCTTTGTAGAGACAAAAAAGAGGTAAACCAACAACACCAGCATCATAGAGGACACCGACGTGAACCGCAAGCTATACGGGCAGAAGATGTTAAGAAGCTATTGAATGACTAACTTCGAGACTTCAAGATTGGAGGAGATTTCGAAAATGCTCTGTGCAAGGAGGTGGACCAAGTGAACTCCTCACCATTCACCATCGAGATCGAGCAGGAGGCTCCACCAAAGCAATTCTCAACACCTTATTTCACACACTTCAAAAGGGATTATGATCCTGAGAGCCATCTAAAGCACTTCAAAAATGTTATGATTCTCTACAAGGCCGAAGATGTGTTGATGTGCAAGGTGTTTGCAATGACCTTATGAGGAGCAGCTCAGGATTGGTTCCATACCCTGCTATTCAGGTCCAGCAACTTTTATGGAGCTAACTTTTGTCTTCACCAAGGAGTACACTTCCTACCGGACGATCAAAAAACAAGCTGACCACCTGTTCAACCAGCACAATAAGCATGATGAGTCCTCTCGAGACTACATAAAAATATTCAAGGCGGAGAAAGCCAACATTATGGGATGTGATGACCAAATCGCATCCTTTGCCTTTAAGAAGGGTTTACTGACTGAGCACGACCTATATCGAGAGCTAACTATAGCTCCCAGCTAGACTCTGGCAGAGGTATTCCTGATTGTGGAACGCTACGTGCTCTAGGATGACGATCGAATTGCCGCAAAAAAGTTTGCTAAGCAAGCTGAATAACCACCCAATGAGGCAGGTTAAAGAGGCGATAAGCCCAACAGTATGAACTATTGAGGAAAGCACAAAGCACCATCCCAAGGTGGTGCACCAGCAGACGAAAGCCATATGAAGTTCACCATCCCGATACATCAAATTTTGGCCTAAGTGAAGGATAAGCCCTGGTTGAAGAGACCACCACCTTTGAAGAGAGTTCCTGACAAGAGAAGTACCAACAAGTATTGTGCCTTCCATGGAACACATGGGCATGACACAGCCAATTGCCGATCTCGGAAGATGCACCTCGAAAAGATCGTAAGAAAAGGCCCCTGCACTGAGTTAATGGCGAAGAAAGCCATCCAGCAAATCCCTGGTTGAAGAGACCACCACCTTTGAAGAGAATTCCTAACAAGAGAAGTACCAACAAGTATTGTGCCTTCCATGGAACACATGGGCATGACACAGCCAATTGCCGATCTCGGAAGATACACCTCGAAAAGATCGTAAGAGAAGGCCCCTGCATTAAGTTCGTGGCGAAGAAAGCCATCCAGCAAATTGAGGGTAGCGATGCCGTCAAGGAGCCCCCACAGAAGGTCATAAAGATTAACACGATCCTGACTCACTCCGAGGAATCTAGACTGACCAACAAGGAAAAGAAGATAAAGATTAAACAGGCCACTGTTATCTCCCAAGTCTTAACCAATTGCCCATCAATTGAATATGGTCATGTGATCGACTTCCTGAAGAAAGATTTAAGTGGGCTTGATATGCCACACAATGACGCCCTCGTCATAAGCATCCAAATCATGCAAGCCATGAATGACCAAGTTCATGTAGACGAGGGCACCGCAATCAATATCCTATAACTTTCGATGGTCCAGCAGATAGGAATAAAGGCCAAGATCAACAAGTTAACCAGGTCGTTGACCGGCTTCAATGAAGCAACCACAATCACTATAGGAACGTTAGAGGTTGATGTCTACTCCCCACTAGTGATCACCACTCAGATGTTCATGATCCTCGACAAAGTCTCCTCCTACAATGGCATTCTAGGCAGACCATGATTTTGTCAAGATCAACGTCATTACCTCTGCCACGCACTAAAAAATCCACTACTCAATCTCTAGGAGAGGTGTCAGCCAGATCAACAGCAATCAAGCGATTGTGAGAAAATGCTCAACTCAAGGGCTAAAGAAAGGCAAGCAAGCGCAGTTCATCCTTGTAAATCATGCAAATCTTAAATGAGTAGAACAAGCAGGGGAAGAAGCACATCTCATTCATAACAGTCGAGCAGACCAAAACTAAAAGGGGCTGGCCATTCCCCAATAGCAATTAAAAAATCATGACCTAGATAGGGGAATCCTCCTAGAGGTCTCCTCTGAAAAATGATGGAAGCCTGAAGAGGACGTCGAAGTAGTACCCATTGATCTTGATAAGCCAGAAAGAAAAGCACGGATCAGCTCGCGCCTAAGCCTAGAAGAGAATGTGGAGCTTACAACCTTCCTCCAGAACAACAAAGACATGTTCGCTTGGTCACCATCTAACATGCCAGGCATGGATCCACAGATCATCTGTCATCACTTTCATGTTAACCCAGCTATCAGACAATAGCACAGAAAAGACGCAACTTCACTCCCAAGAGAGTTGCCATCATCGAAGCTGAGATTGACAAGCTCCTAGCTACCGGCTTCATTGAAGAAGTCTCATGCTCAGAATGGCTGGCCAATATTGTTTTAGTAGCAAAGATAGACCAAGGCAAGTGGAGAATGTGTGTGGACTACTCCGACCTTAACAACGCTTGCCCAGAAGACAACTTTCTTTTGCTAAGAATTGATCAGCTTGTATATTCAACTTTCGATAATCAACTGCTAAGCTTCATGGACTTTTACTCCGGCTACAGTCAAATCATAATGCATGATGATGATAAAGCAAAGATTTCTTTCATAATTGAAAGAGACACCTATTGTTATAAAGTCATGCCTTTTAGGCTGAAGAACGTCTAAGCAACATACCAGAGGCTCATGAACAAGATTTTCAAGGAGCATATCAACAAGACTATGAATATCTACGTAGACGACATGCTAGTCAAAGCTCTCCGACTAGCAGATCACATCAAGAATCTTGCCGAGACATTCAGCTGCTCCAAAAGTACTACATGAAGTTGAACCTGAGCAAGTGCACATTTGAAGTCTCACCTGGCTGATTTTTGGGATACTTAGTCACCCAAATGGGCATCAAAGCACATCCTAATCAAATCAAGGTCATCCTCAACATGAAATTGCCTACCACAATGAAGAAGATACAAAGTCTACCAACTAGAGCAGCAGCTCTCAACCGATTCCTTTCAAGATCCACTGACAAATGTAGGTCATTCTTTAAAGCCTTGAAGAAATGATAAAGAGACAAAAAGGATGAAAAGTGTGAAGTAACTTTCCAAAACTTGATAACCTACCTCACTTCACCTCCCATGCTCTCAAAACCCATACCAGACAAATATTTGTTCATCTGCCTAGTGGTGTCCAACTCAGCAGTCAGCTCAGCTCTCATCCGAGAAGAGCTGGAGTCACTGCCTAAAGACCTATGGCAGTTGCACGTAGATAGAACGTCAAATCACAAGGGAGCTAGAGCAGGTGTCGTTATAATCACCCTAGACGGAACCTTGTTGAAGCAAGCCATCACACTAGGTTTTCCAGCCTCAAAAAACGAAGCAGAGTACGAGGCGCTGCTCACTGGCATGCATGTGGCAAAGGAGCTATCAATCAAAAGGCTAGCCATCTACTCAGATTCCTAACTAATCACCAATCATGCATTAGATGAGTACATAGTGAAGCACCCAAGGATGATCTAGTACCTAGACAAAGTCCAAGAGATTTTGAAGGCATTCCCTACCTTCACTATCCAACAAATTCCCCGGGCATAACACACACATGTAGATTTTGGAATAAGCGCTAGATACCAAGTTAAGATGTTCAATTTTGGTCGAGCACGTTGATCAGCCAAGTATCGAAGAAGCAGAGCTGTCAAACCTGATGCAGATCGATGAGGATCCCAGCTGGTAAGACCCCTATCATCGACTACTTCGTAAATGAAAATTTGCCAATGGAGAAGTCCGATGCTAAAAAAATCAAACAGAAAACTGCAAGATACTACATGAATGACAACAAGCTTGTTTGAAGGTCATACTCTGATCCTCATCTTACTTGCATTAAGTACCCTCAAACTCTTGAAGTGCTCTGCAAAATCAACGATGGTGAGTACGGCAACCATTCTGGGGGCAGATCACTCACTCATAAGCTCTAAGCATAGGCTAATTTTGGCTTACCATGCGATATGACTCCACAAAGTTTGTCAAACGATGTGATCGATGCCAACTATACAAGCCAGTTCCTAGCCTGCCTACCGAAGTGTACCATTCACAAAATAGCTCATGGCCATTCATGCAATGGGCCATTGATTTAGTGGGTCCCATGCCGCCAGCACCTGCCAAGAAATGATGATCATCGCCACATACTACTTTACTACATGGATCGATGCCGAAGCTCTATCCTCTACTAAAGAAGCAAACGTGGAGCCATTTGTCTAAAAGAACATTATCTGCCGGTTCGGAGCCCACAGTCACTGGTCACCGACAACGGATCATAATTCATTGGCAGGCAGATCGTTGCATTCTTCGCAATGTATGGCATCAAATAACACATGTCAAATCCTAGATATCCGCAAGGCAATGGCCAAGTAGAGCATCTAACAAGATTGTGCTGGATTGTCTGAAGAAGAGACTAGAATGAGCCAAAGGAAAATGGGTCGATGAACTGCCTTGAGTCATATAGGCTTATCGCACCACCAAAAGAAGATCAACTGGCGAAACCTCATTTTCCCTCACCTACGAACCTTTGATTCCTAAGTCAATTAGATGATCTTTAGGAAGATACAAAAATAACAGAGAATGTTAGAGTTTTCTCTACAGTATACGATACGAGAGAACTGGGTGGCCGGAGCTATGTGCTGGTGGCCAAGTAGTGAGAGAGAGAGAGAGAGAGAGAGAGAGAGAGGGGGGGGTTTCTTAGGTAAAAATCATATTACCTTATATGTGTCAAGTAGCCATGTATTTATAGTGCTCCTTGTAAGCTAGGGTTTGAGGAATAATCCTTATTTAATTAGGATTATTCTTACCCAAAAATAAGATATTAGAATTAATCAAGGAGATAGGAGCTGAATTCATCAATGTCAAGTTTTCTGATGTCCCCATTAACCCAAATGTTGAATTCCACTTCATTCTCTCTTTTTCCATAGACTATGACACCTCAGGCTCTTTCCCCCACCAATGGAAAATTCAATGTCTTTTGGGACTCCGATAACCTTTAGCCCTTCCCAAGTTTCCTCCATCAAAAATCAGCATTCAAATGTCAAAGTGGCCTTGAACCTAGGAGGGGACAGTGTGAATAGTGGCTCTGCTTACTTAAAGCCTTCCTCAATTGACCCGTGGGTTTCTAATGCTGTTTCTTCACTCACAAGCATCATCCAACAGTACAATTTGGATGGAATTGACATTGATTACGAGCATTTTAGAGCAGACTCGATACCTTTTTCTGTGTGCATTGGAAGGCTTATAACAACCCTCAAGAACACTAGAGTGATCTCATTTGCTTCCATTGCTCCATTTGATGATGACCAAGTTCAGAGCCACTACCTGGCTTTGTGGAAAAGCTATGGCCATTTGATAGACTACGTGAATTTCCAGTTTTACGCATACGATCAGGGCACCACAGTGGCTGAGTTCATCGATTATTTCAAGACGCAAAGCTCCAACAAATTACAATGGTGGGAAGATCTTGGCAAGCTTTATCAGTGATGGGAGTGGTGGATTGTCCCCTGAGAATGGTTTTTTCACTGCCTGTCACCGGCTCAAGAGTGAGCAAAAACTTCGTGGAATCTTTGTTTGGTCTGCAGATGACTCCAAGAAAATCAGTTTCCGCTATGAAAAGCAATCACAAGCTCTCTTAACAAAATAACTCAGAATTTAGTAAAAATCAGGAATTTAAGCGCCGAATTTATTAAATGACGCACGGAAAAAATTGTGAACATTGGGACATTAAATTCCCGAGTTTAATATCCATCAAAATAGGTGTCATTTCACAATTTTCATAGTGTCATTTACAAAATTCGACATACATAAATTCAAACATTGAAATCTTCAATTGCTAAAAATTTAAATGATGGAAATTTAAATTGTCATTTTAGAATTCTATGTAATTTTCAATTCCTTCATCCAAACAGAGGGTTAGCATTCCCCCAATAGTACATATTTATCTTGTAAATGAATATGATTTAAGAAGTAGGCTCTGGCATTGGATTCCTAAGTACTATAACGCACTAAGAACGAGTTGCTTCTTTATGCTCTTTATTTATGTTTGAGTAGATTTAAAATCTTTAAAGGTTCTACGGAATTCAAAAATTCCTCTATGAAATATTTTGTTAACAATGTTTACACCAGATTAGTGACCCAACAAAGCAAAAATAAAATCAGCAGCTACGAGTAGATGAAAAGGAAAACAGGATAAACACTTCAATCTACTTGTTGGAACTGTGGGCACAGGAAGACGCACAAAACCACAAGTGCAACCATCTAAAACCCCCAAATAGTAAAATGGAGAAAACCGACATCTTGAACAATATAATTACTCCATCATGGCAACAGTTTTCTCGGGTTGCTGTTGTGAAACCTTGACTTTGATCGGTAAGGTGAGTGATGGATCATGTTGAAGTGCAGTTGGCGCTTTGACCAAGCTGATGCTCTGTTCCAACTCTTTTACTGCCTCTCTGTTCTCCTTGGCTTTCTTGTCCTTCATCCTGCTCAAGTTTTTCACAAATTTGTTAAAATGAAGAAAACCAAAAACATGTTGTACTATTTCTACTATAGGTTAAAATGAAGAGGAAAGTACCTCTTCTCATGGTGTCTTTCCTCTCTGACGATTCTGACTTTGTCGATCTTCTTAATGGCCTTGAGGGTGTTTTCTGTGAGATTTCTGTCATATCTCTCAGGCCTATTTCTCTTTCTCTCAAACTCAAAAGTTGAGTCCTACAAAAAAATGCAAAGAGTAACATAAGACTTGCAGGATATTAACCCAGCTTTTCAACAGTCCCAATATAAAGTGTGAATAATAAAATCACCAGGTTGTTTACCTGTGTCATATCCTTTCCACGCAAACGCCTATAGGCCTTAGTCCATTTTACTTTGCGAGGATTCCTCTTCATTTTAAAGTTCTTGTGGCATTTGGATCTACAGAATCGAAAAATCTACAAGAGGAATGGCTTTCAGGTAATTATGCCAAACATAAAAGGAAATGTAAAGGTGAGCCAAGTCCATAGTGGCACTTAGACATTGCTCACTCACTATAGAATCCCAAACAAAAATGAATCGCCATCATCCATTTCGCAGTCAAACCATAGGGAGTAAAAACATGCAAGCTATATGTGGATGAATTTGGATTAAATGATCAAGAAATTAGCTCAAACTGAGTACCTCAATCAAAAACATAAAAACAAAAACAAGAGGCCCAAGCTAATGCCAAACAAATCGACCCATCCTGGCATCAATTTCATATATATGCACATAAATAGCATCCCTATCAACCCAACCAACAGTAAATCAGGCAGCGATTGATTGTAGGACTGGAAAACCCTATAGGTTCAGCTGCAATCAATAAAATTTTCAAACTTTTAAATTTGGTTGTCAAAGGTAAAGTTTGAAAATGCATCACCACATAGCAATGACATGGTCCACCTGTTTTTTTCTTTTTATTAGAAACAAAGAATTCTATTAAAGAACCAGAAAGCATATAGGTGAACAAGAGATCCACCAAATATACAACCACCAAAATCATACAACTAAGACACCCCTTACCACAATTCACTTGAACATCTAAAACTCTACGATACTACTGCTTTCCGATCAAAATATATTAAATAAAAGGTAAACTCGATAAAGTCTGAAGACGTAGATGTCCAAAACCGAATACAATCCCAATAACTCAACTATCTCATCACCCTTAACATTACATGGTTTATGTTTGAAAATTCTATTACACAAGAGTACAACAACTTTTGTTTTCCTCAGTAGAGAGTATATAAAAACTTTACCTTTGCATCATTACGAACAAACTGAATCCCATGTCCAGGATATACTGTAGAGGAGCAAAACCAGCATTTTTCCAACCTCATTGTGTCCTTTGACTATATATAACTATTTCTGAGAGAGAAAAAAGAAATAAGTACACTACCATTAAAAATTAGCAGAGGAATGAAATTCATTACTAAACCCTAAATGGACTTCCTTAGATTTTTATCCGAATCCATAGATCAATATGTCCTAAATGATTATAAGGATTCTGCTAAGTAGTATCACGAATCAAAGTTGCCTAATTCGCTCACCCCCTACGAATTTCAATCTGGATCGAGCGTACTCAATCGCGGTACGGTATCGATCTTGAACGAAAAATTTAACGTCTCAGTTCCAGAGGAGAGAACAGTACCTGATAGACGACGTCGCTGCTACAGAACAGTACCTGACCGCCGACAGCAGACGAGCAATCGAGGGCACTCGAGGTAGAGTGCTATAGCCGATGAGCACCCGTTTGATTCTTGGTCATTACTAAAACCCTAGGGGAAGGAAGATATTTGATTTTTAGTCTCCCAAAATCAACTCCAGCGGTGACACCCAGCCCGGGCAAGGCCCAAGGCAAGCTAGCCCAAGTTGCTGCCTAATGAAGAAATTTTTTTTATAAAAAAATTTAAAAAAAATTCTGAAAAATTATCAAAAAAACTATACACACCTAGCACATTTTTATTTATTAATCTCATTATATATAAATAAAATTAATTCTATGTAAATAGTAATTGTTCTTGGGTTGCCATGACAATGGATGAAAGAGCACAAAAATAATTGATAGGGTATATACTATTCAAGTGAACAGTAACCGCTCTTACTTGCTCTTATCCTTTGTCATGGCAAATAAGCGGAAGTGCGGGAATGTACTAGAGGTTGGGTGGGTGGGTGAGTGTCAATATAATAAAAGTATTACTTTTGGTTTCAAGAATTCAATTTTGTTCTCATAGACCCTATGGCTCAAGGAAATTGTAGTTACCAACACTTGAATCTAATCTAAAGGTTGAGAAAGAACTAGTTTAAATATCAATATGTCATCTTTTATTTTTATTTTTTTTAATATAGTAAAATACTATTTTGGTTATATATTTTTTTTAAAAGAGTTTAATATCAAAGATGAAAAATATAAACAAAAAACTCATCCACATCTAAGACCGTCGTCTCCGACGCCAGTCATCTTTCTCATTCACGCCTAGTGAATAAGAAAACATGAACCTTTCATGAAATTACAATATAGTTGCAGAAACCCAAGTCTAGGTTCATGAACTGGAAAAAAAAAATACCCGAAATTTATTTGTAAAAAATTGAAGTTTTCCCAAACTAGGTTCATGAATCATTCAAATCTAACATTTATAAACATAAATTTGGTCACAAATGTAGAGAACAATAGAAAAATGACTTGGTTGTGGGTCCTTAAAATTCAATCACGTTAAAGTGTGAAGGGATGGCTTGATGGCTTGGAATTTGGTTCCTTCTGTTACGCCGAAGTTGAAGGTAGTTGTGAACGACAATGGAGGAAGAACATGTTCTTGGTTTTCTGAGAGAAAGGGTGTTTTGGTTGGAGTGGTTTTTTTCTTTTTTAAAATTTTTGTTTTTGTTTAGGTTAAATTAATATTTTGTACAGTAAAAATAATAAAATAATGACATATTGATATATAAATCAATTTTTTCTTGGCCCTTAGTTAGATCCAAGGGTGAGTGACCAAAACTTCCTTGGACCCTAGGGTCTAGGAGAATGGAACTGTTCAATAATTGGTGAGGAATAATGAAAGTCATGGTTCTTTCAATACATTTAACAATAAAATACATAACTTATTGAATAAATAAAAAAAATCATTTATTCATAAAATAAATAAGTTCATACTTAAAATTTCCATGCAGAAACATAAATTAAAGTTTATTGTTGAAACTTCAAACCAAACAAAACAGAAATTGAAAATACTTAAAATAAAAATAACAACTTTAGCCAACTGGTTGTTTCCCCTTCGCTTTTGCACTAGTCCTTGTGGTTGAGATCTCTCCAAGAGGAAAGTGACTGGGCATAGAGGACGGTGAGGATGATGCTTGGTTGTGAACACCTACATAATCGCCCTCCAACCCTTTTCATCTCATTTCCTCCAATTTATGAGCAAAGTCATCTAAAAAAGAGGATTCTAGATTAATATCTCATTTCTTGATAGGCCCATCTTTGTAGCTCTCACTGAAACTTGATTGGAGACGGATATTGGAAGGGATATAAACGAATTGATCATCTATTGCAAAATTCAACTAGTTTCTCTTCACATTATGGATGTAAGAATATGTGTTCCAAATTCTTTCTACCAATGAACTTGATGTCAGTTGAGCAAACACCTTTATCATTTGTATAAAATATATATATAATAAATTATTTAAGATAAAAAATAATAATTAAAAATATTAAAATTAAATTTATACCTTTTTAATAACCTTTGCTAATTCTGATGTTTCTGCATCATATGTTGACCACCAATCAATGAGATCCGTAACCACAACATAAGTTTGAGCCTCTAGTGAACCATAAAAACCTTATTATTGATGGAAGCTAGCAAATTGTCCTCGTAGCAAACGAGCCTCCGCTTTAGTTTCTGATATCCTATCAAAGGCTTTCACAACATTTATCATCACTTCTATGTCTCCATCAGGGCTTTTTTCTAGCCACACTCAATGGTGTTATTCGACTTAAATAAACTCTATCATAAAACCTCAGTGTTAAGGCAAATGCAAGACAATGCATGAGAATATTCATCTTTTCCCACCTACGAAGCACAATTTCTTCAACCTTAGGAAAATATCTGTCATATATTCCACTTGCCATAATATCTTTTATTTTGCCAAACATATTATTCATTCTTTCATAAATTTCACCCATCTTTTGATCATCACCCTCATCAAATTTTACCACTAGATAAATTGGCTTTATGAAATCTAATATTGCCTCAACATGTCCCAAAAATTATCATCTTTCATGGTATTTTGAACCATAGTAGCTAAATTAATTCCTTTTACAAATTTATAAATAAACCCAATCCTAAACATGTATTTATAAATAAATAAATAAATAAAAAACCCAAGCACTATTTAAACATAGAAACACACCCAAAATCAGCAATTGTATATTTTTTGGGTGTGCTTATAAATGAGTTTTGAGTGTGTGTAATGATGGGTTTTGGGTGTGTTTATAAAGTGTTTTGGGTGTTGGGTTTTTTTATAATTTCAGCCCCCATTTTGGGTGTTTTAGTGAAACTCCCAATTCCTTTTGCCTTCATCTAAATTTTTCAACAAATCTTTCCATGCTCTTTGAATAACAGTAGTTTGTAAAGGTTCTCTACAACCAACTAGCCTCTTTAACAAGATAAAATGTGACGCAAATATTGTTATAGCTACTTTTAGTAATGCCAAATGTGACACTCTTAAAAATTGTCAAAGCATGTGTGTAGTTTACAAAAAAATTGACAATTGACTTTCCAGATTTATAAATATTTGTAAGCCACTCAAATTTTTATGCAAGATTTTAAAATGAGATTTAAGGTATGAACAACACATGGAGACCAAAAAATAGTCAAACAAAGTAGGGTAAATTTTCAGATATACTCATATATGTATTCTTCCCCAATATGGAGGTATTTATAAGGAAGTACAAAGTTGTATACCCTAAACACAATAAGAAATAAATATAAATTATAATATAAAATAAATCTCAATTATAATACAACTAGACAAATAGGTAAGTAACCAAAACTCTAACATAGTAAGGAACCAAAATCCTAACTAAATAAGGACTCGCCAACATTGTCGCAAAGATGTTTCGCATGATCAAATTGACAAGTGAGTCATAGAACACCATACTCAACATTAACCAACTGTAGAGAATGTCACAATTGTAAAGAAGGTCTTGTTGTAAACCATGAGTGAAACAACTGACAAGCCAAATCAAAGTTCGCAGTAGAAACACAAGAGCAAACTTTAACAAATAGGGCACATAGAACACATAAAAGTAGAACACAAAAACCTTTTGAGCACGACAATGGGTAAGGCAGAACACATAAACCCTATAAGCACGACATTAGGCAAGGTAGAACACATAAACCCTATAAGCACGACAGAAGAGTCCATTAAATTTGAATCCCAAGAGTAGGTTGGTGGATGATTCAATATGAACCATCACAATAGGGGTATGAGAAGCAGTATGTGAAGACAATGGCAAGGTAGACGGCGGCAGTAGGCTGGGTATATAGTGCATCGAAAATAGGTAGTGTTTAGGTTAGGGTTTTTTATGTTGTAGAGACGGATCGAAATACATGAACATCATCAACAATGACAAAGGAGAATTCCTCCTAATTCAGCAAAAAAATTTCTTCATTCCCCCTCTCCCCTGTAGAGAAAGGGTCGTTGGAGTGAAGAAATACGCTATATCTTGATGGGTATACATCAAGGTAATGGGGGATACATCAATAAACATATCATTTTCACTCCCCCTCCCCTTTTGAAGAGGAGGGGAGGAGAGCACTTAAATTGCAAGGAGAACACAAGCACATGTCACAAGAGAAAAAGGCTCTTATATAAAGTCAAACAAAGTAGGGCAAATTTTCAGTTATTTCATATATATCTCATATATGTATTCTTCTCCAATATGGAGGTATTTATAAGAAAGTACAAAGATGTATTAACCCTAAATATAATAGAAAATAAATCTCAATTATAATATGACTAGACAAATGGGTAAGTAACCAAAATTCTAATAGTAATAAACCAAAATCCTAACTAAGTAAGGACTCGCCAACAAAAATATGCTCATTTACCTTTCCAATCTCTCTTCTAAATGCGACATAATTACTTGCATTGTCAGTTACTACTTGAAGAACACTATAGGGTCCCACTTCTTCAATGATATGTTGGGGTTCGAAGGTCAGAATTTGGGTGGACAATTGGCTCCTTCCTGAAAATATTTTGTGCGCCATCCCATTGTTTCATGTGGTGGGTCATATCCCCATAATGGTCCATGAAATGATTAACCTGGATACTAGAAGCTGGTGTTTGGATAGGATATCTAGATTTATGGATCTTTATGTTGCCGTCTTCATTCATTCCATCCCTCTCACGAATCCAAGTCTGGGAGACCGTCTTATCTGGCCTTGGACTAAGGATGGATCTTTTTCTATGTGCAGTGGATACCATTAGAAATAATCATGGGGCTACGCTTATTCCCCTTCACTCCTCCCACTAGATTGACAATCTGTTTCGAAAGCTATACGAAATTTGAAAGTGGTGCCAAAATTAATATTTTCCTTTGGCGTCTTCCTCCTTTGTCTCTGTATGTGTTCTGCTCTAATTTGGAGGAAACTGTTGAACATGCTATCCTCCTTTGTCCATGTGTTCATCCTTCTTTGATAGCTGGTTTCTTAGTTGGCTCACATGTCCACGTCTAGGAAAAACTAGGCGTATGGAGATTTGAAGCACATTGAGTTCATTTGTTGGGAGATTTGGAAAGAAAGATGCTCTGCCATTTTTTATGGAAGAAGCCCTTGCCCTATTGATGTGCTCAGGCGATCCGCCTCTCTTCGTTTTGAGCTTTTTTATGGGTCCGTTGGACCTTCTTACCCATCAAATACTATTAAGTTGTCACATACTTGGCATGCCCCTGTGGATAGTGCTTGGCATCGGTCTTCCTTGGAAGGAGACGTGGGATGTATCATCTGTAATTCTGAAAATGTATTTGTTTGCAATTCTAGCACGTTCATTTCCTGGTCCTCATCAATTGAATTTGAAGCCGAAGCTGTCCTGGGAGGCTTGCTTCTTGCCCATGAGGGTGGCCATAGGAATGTGATAGTTGAAAGTGATTCTCAAGTGGTTATCAACTAGATTAAGCAAAGTGACTATTATGCTGATTGGAGAATTTTCCTATTATCCCAGAGATTAGGAAGCTTGCTACTTCCTTTCTCTTGATTAGATGAGAGTGGGTTTCTTGTCTCCAAAATCAAGTTGCTCATGCTTTTGCAGCCTTTGCCAACTTAAGGGTGCGATCTTATCAATGGGCAAACTATAGCCTCCTCCCTCTTTGGTGCAGATTCTGGCACATGACGGCCTTCCATGCCCCCCCAAACTTCGGTCCTAGAATCCAATAGTGTAGATATTTTATTTCGGATGTAGTGTTGGTGCTAGTCCTTTGCTTTCTCTTCTCTTTCTCCTAGGTGGTGTCTATGGCCACCATGTGAAGCTTGCTTATGTTTTAAAGTTTTTTCTCATGTTTTATGTCTTTGCTTGGCTGTTTTCCCCTTAATGAATTATCTTTCAAACAAAAATAAAAACTAGTTCCACCAAGAAAAAATATTGAGACCAATATTCCTTATTTTGATTTGGAGAGAGAGAAAAAAAAGGATGATGGCAATCACACGACGCTAAGGAGCAAAATGATTGCAAATATTCAATGTATGTTTTTCATTTTAGAATTAAAAATCTTTTAAGATATTATTTTCCCAGTAAGATTTATGCCTTCCATACGAAATTTAAAGCTTCAGTATATTGTTATTAGTTCAGGTTTAGGAATATCAGAATTTCCTACATTTAATAAAACTTTAGGTTTACTATTTAACAACCTTATGGAGTTGTATTTTCAACTTATTGTATTATCAAAAATGTGTTATAGGACATACCTTTTGTCCTCTCTTCCCCTCTTTTTCCTTTCCTCTCCACCTTCTCCGTTCCTATCCTCTTTGGTTCCCCCTCTCACATTGTCTTCGTCTATGTTCCGTTGGCTCGTTTTTGGCATAATTCTACAATAGATCTCACGGAATCTATTATTTTTTGATGTATCCACACTATTTGCATAAGAGGAAAGTCAATTTGTGCGGATTCGTTATCTTTGGTCCTTTGTACCATATTTTTTAGCTTTGTGACAACGAGGTTACAATTCGGCATCATTTAGTTCCTTTATTTTTTGGAATAAGTTGCAATAACTATCTTTGGGTTTTCTATGTAGTTTTCACCTCTTCTTTGTGAGAGTTTTTCACATTTCTTTTGTGAGAGTTTTATTTGTATTATTCTGATTTGGTTATTTCAAGCTTTGTCTCTTTTTTATTCTTCTAACTGTGCAATCTTAGTTGGAATGTCTATGCTAGAGTTTTTTCGGTCCTACGAGAACGTTAGTAGAGGCACACCAGATTGTCTTAATTTTGATGTTAGTTTTCTCCGTTATTGTAATGAACCTTATAAGTGGCTTTTTTGGTTGAATTAGGAATGCAAGCCCAAAATTTCTATAAAAGTAAACTGTAGTGATAAATTGCATCAACTGGGATGAAAACATGAATTGGTCTTGTTTAGTGATGAATGATGATGAAAGAGTATCATGGATGAGTTCTGAGAAATTGTTGCGGGATTGTTTTTCAATGGTAAAGGACGAGGATTTATGGCCAGTTTGGAATTGCTCTCATTTTTTTTTAAAAAAAAAAACTTATTCTATTGTGCTTTGAAAATAATAAGATGTAATGTTAAAGCTATAAGCAGTATTTTTAAAGTGATGTTAGCATAAAAAGCAGTGTCAAAACCGTTTGGTAAATTTTAATATAAAATTGTTGTAATTGTGAGTAATTACTAAAATGAACATGATGTTGTTGGTAAATTTTAATATAAAACTATTGTAACTGTTAATAATGACTAAAACATACATGATGTTGAAAGTGTTATGTGATAAGCATGTGGTGGTGGTAAAAGTGGAGATGAAGGTGGTGTTGGTGATGGACGTAGAGGTGAAGGTGATGTTAGTGACGGAGATGGAGGTAAGGTGGTGGTGGTGATGAAGGTGGAGGTGACGGCGGTGATGGTAGATGATGTCATTTTTAAAAATTAATAATGGTATTATGGGAATTAAAAAAATTCATTAAATGCTATTCTATATTTCTTGTGAAGCAACTTTCAAAAGTTGCTAAAAGTTGTTGTGGGGAGATCATTGTTTTTAAAATAATTAACATATTTTATTTTTACCAAACATCTTAAAATGATGAACGTTAAAGTGAATCTGATTTTTGGTATATAAAAAAGAAATTCAATCCCAAACGGGGAGCCTTATATTGCTTTTATCTAGATGTGTGTGCTTAAAGGGATTTTCTTGAAGCTGATCTCATCAATCGTATACAAACCAAATAATCAATCTTTTTGTAACCAAAATTATCAACTTTACCATCTTAAAAGTTTCAAATACTTATAAAGCCAACATTGTAACCACCATGCTCACTTTTAAATCTCTAACATTCAACATTCCGTGAAAGTGACAAACTAATAATTTAATTGTACCAAAAAAAAACTAACAATTTAAGAGTCCTTGTATTAACTTAAAAAAAAACAAACAAACTTTAGTACTTAGTTTTCGAAAAAAAATGAAAAGTGAAAATTAAATAGTTATCAAACATACTTGAAGGTTGACATCAATATGTAAGGTGGAATATCATAGTAAATGATGATAGCAAGTAACAATTTAAGCAGTTTACATCTAAAATCAAACTATAGTTATTTTGATTTGACTCAGTCCAAAATTACACAATATTATTATTATTAGCATTTTGCTTTATATATATAGATAGATTATTATTTTCTATTGAGAGTAGTAATTGTATACTAAACTCACACACACTACACGGATGCTAGGACTCGAACTCAGGAGTTTGCTTGAGGGAATAAATACTCTAAACCACTACACTAGTGAGTCCTTTGCTATATATAGATTATTATTATTTATTAAAAAATTACACAATATTAAAACTGAACAAAACTGCTTGAAAATGGTTCAATTGGGCCCGTTTGAAGGATTGAACGGTTTTTTGGGCAACCATAATTTAATTAGAATAATGTTCTTAAAAGAGACAAAAGAAAATCCAAAATATTTGTCAAATCACATCCTTCAAATTCAGGAACAAAATTATTAAGACAGAAAAGAAATAATAAAAACGCGGTTTTAGCTTCTCCACCACTATCTTAGTTCTCTCTCTCTCTCTCTCTCTCTCTCTCACTTCACTCTCTTCGCCCCTTTGCACACACTTCCACACTTCTAATCGTCAAACCCTTCAACTCTCTCTCTCTCTTTCTCTCTCTCTCTCTGGGTTTTATTGGCGTTGTACTTTGTGCTTTGCTCCAAAAGCCCTAAACTTGGAGTACATTTTCAGATCTGCGCTGACATTTCATTCAATTCAAGCTATGCGCCACTAGTTTTACTTCCCTTGACTGAACAAACCCATTTCCCTAAAATGTCAAACTCCGACCCGAAAACCCGACCTCGTCCGGGTCCATGGCCTCCCGCTCCGGACTCCTCCGCAATGCCCCCTTCTTCTTGGGCTAAGAAAACCGGCTTCCGCCCCAAGTTCTCTGGCGAGACCAATGCCAGTGATTCCGGTCAGATATCGCTGCCGCCGCCCCGGCCCCGAGAGCCTGAAGCCCAGCCTGATCTCGAAGCTGGACGGGCCCGGCCTCAACCGGCTCCGAATGGCGTGCCCGAGCGCGAGGTGGCTGCACCGGCTCCAGCGGCACCTTCGGATAAGGACCAGACGGTGAAGAGGAGGAAGGACTCTAATGGAGGGTCGAAGGTTGCGGCCAATGGGCCCAGTGGGCCCAATGGGCAGGCCGCTGCTGGGCCCACGGAGCCCAATTCGCAGCCGCGGAGGCCTGCGAGGAATGAAGAAGTGGTTGATGTTTTGCCACACGGTGTTGATGATGATGGGAATGTGGCTAGGCACTCGCATATGAAGTATGAGCTCAGAGATACACCTGGTCTTGGTGAGTGTCTTTTCTCCCGATTGTTTATTGCCAGTTTTTACATGTGGTATAGTACAAATATGTGTTGTTTTTTTATTGAACTCAACTGATAATTTTTAAGCTGGGGGTGTTTGTACTCTTGTAGGTTGTAGAATTCGATTGGTTTTGTGGATAATTCAAAATGGGTTATGTTTTTTGTGATTGTTTGGAGGTTTAGTTGTGTATTTGTCATGAAGTATTGTGAAAGTACAATTTTTGCTTTTTAAAAGTTATGTTTTTTCATGTGATTGATATGGTTTGTGTTTGTTGGTACAATGTTTCAGTTCCCATTGGTCTCTACGGGTTCCAGCATTATCTTTCCATGTTGGGTTCGATAATTCTAATTCCACTCGTCATAGTTCCGGCAATGGGTGGGACTTATGTGAGTAGTTATAAACATATACTTTTTTTTTATATTTATTTTAATGTTATACATTTGTTTACTGGATGGTACAATGTTGGATCGTTTGATTTGACTGGATTTAGTTTATGTAGGAGGATACTGGAAATGTTGTATCTACAGTGCTTTTTGTTTCGGGAGTGACCACTCTCTTGCAGACATCATTTGGATCAAGATTGCCCTTGATACAGGGTCCTTCATTTGTTTACCTAGCTCCCGCTTTGGCGATAATCAACTCCCCAGAATTTCGAGGACTCAATGGAAATGTATGCTTCTGTTCTTGATTTTGTTTAGTTTGATGGAAAGCTTAGTGACTGTCCTTTTTTGCATTTATCACCCTAATAGTTGAGCTTTCAGTCAAAGAGAAAGTGGATAGTTATAGTGTTGTCTTTTCATGGATGCAATTTAGTAGAATCCTTTCAGTAGAGTACACCTTAATGATGCAAGGGATAAATTTTATTTTGTTGTTTGTTTTCAAATATACAGTGAACTATTACTTTATCCTACTTGCGAAGATGAAAGACATTCAGTGATTAGAAATCTATCTTTCAGTGGATCATATCAGTTATAACTTATATCTTCCTAATTTTTTCCTCTATTTCTTTTTAAATTCATTAATTGCCCATAAACTGTACATTAAGATGCACACACATTTGTGTACGCTTGTATGAGTTATTACTCTCTTTCTTTCTCTCTCTACAAGGTGTCCTCTTAGCCTATAAGACTTGACTAGCAATCTCTAAGAAATAAAATTAGCCACAACAAAATTACATAAAAATAACAGACAACAATGATAAAACTCTAAGACACTATAACTTTACAATCAGATAGTAAACAGAGAAAATAGTCCTATGCCCAAAATCGGTCTCTTTTCCACAAATTATCAACGTCCTGCCCCCTCATCCTTCTATTTCTTTCCACCCAAACTACCCCAAAACCAGCCATCACAGCACACCTCCCAAATACATTCCCTTCTTCTTTCCACCAAAAAACCAGAAACCTCTCCCGTAAAAAGCAGCGCATGAGACTGGAATCACCCAACTTATGCCATCCTCCCTAAACAACATCGGCCACAAAGAGAATGCAATTGGATAGTGAAGAAGCAAATGGTCCAAGCCTTCAAAATCTGTTTCACACATAGCACACCAATGAGGAGATAGACAAGAAAAAAAATCGTCTCCTCTGAACCATGTCAAAAAGCATGCAACCTACCATGAGCGATTATCCAAGCTAGCACCCTACAGTACCTTAGGCGGTACTTGAGCCTTCTGAGTTACATGAGAGGGAATAAGCAAAGAAAGAGAAGAGTTGTCCATTAGCGCTTTTGCAGGAGAATTACACCTGACCACTCCAATCTGAAGATTCTCCTTTCCCCCTCTACAAGGGACCAACTGAACAATTTCTAGGCAAGACAGTATCAAAGTTAACTCCCCCTCATTCTTATCATTTAGGTCTCTCTCTCTCTCTCTCTCTCTCTCTCTCTCTCTCTATATATATATATATATATATATATATATATATATCTAACAAACACACAAACAAGAAAAGAACCTCTTATGATTTCTTAGTTATCCAGTGCCAAAGAGTGGGTTGTCTATGCATTTAACCATAATTGTGTACTTAAAGAAAGGTATTTTCAGATACACATCAGGTTTTGGGTTTAACTGAATCAACTCAGAAACTCATGATGCATAATTGCTTTGAATAATCTCAATCCTGAAATATAGGTTCTGCTACATTTTGGAAGGAAATCTCAACATTACACAGTAAATGTTTGGAAATTAGTCAAGCCTCCTATCAATATATTTAAATTTTCATGTTATTCAATGCTTGCCCTCAAACTGCAATTTAGCACTAAATTAGAGGTTCTTTTGACATACAAGCATGATGCATTCTTGCTCTCAATAAATCTCTTTACCAAATTGGAGGTTCTGATTATTAATGAAATAACAACATTACAAAGTAATGTTTGGAAGTGAGTCATGCTTCCAATGTATATATTTCACTTCTCATGATATTTAATCCCTGCTCTTATTTATTTTTTCATGTATTTGTTTTACTAGTTTCATTCATCTTTTACATGTTGTCTGAAATAGATTTGTCATTTCACTACTGTTGAATTCTTAGTAATATCTGCTGGTAATCCTTTGTCATGGCAGAATTTTAAGCATATCATGAAGGAGCTACAGGGGGCTATAATAATAGGTTCAGCTTTTCAAGCAATACTTGGATATAGTGGACTAATGTCAATATTTTTGAGGTATGATTCCAGCATTTTTAAGCCCCAATCACCCATATATATTATAAATATAATAGTTTAAGTTTTTTGCTACTTGGAAACAAGCAAAATGCGTAATATTTAATAGTTTACTTTGAAATACTTGCCATGTACTGGGGTTGCCTAATCAGAGCTTGAGTGGAAAAGTATGTTTAAGTTTCTTCATTTGGTATAGAGGGAATTGATTAATGGTTTCAGTTGTTTGTTGGTGTTTATGCTGATAGTTGGCATCCTTACCATGTCTTAACAAAAAAATTATATATCACTCATGTAGCGATCTTCAGTAGATAGGAGCTGCTCCTATTTAAGTGATGTCTGAGGCTTGTAATAGCTACCTCTCGATTCTGGCCCGATAGGTATGGATTCCTCCATGAGTTTGAAAAATTGTTGAAATAGACATTTTTGAAGTTTGAAGAAAAAAGCAGCATAAGATGCTTCCTTGAAACCACCGGTTAGATTTATAAGCCTCAAGTTTTTTCAGACTATGGGCATTTGGGATTTGACCCATTTGACGTGGCTTAGTTGGTAGATGAGTCAGTTTCCTTTTATTTTCTGGGCAGTCTCGAAGAGTCAGTTTTCGTTCTTTTTTTTTTTTTTTTTTTTTTTTTTAATAATGGCCATTGAAGAAAGAAATCTCAGTAGAACATGTTTGAGTTCGTTATTATGCATGCTATACCACACAATTCATAGGGCCTTCGCATATTGGTTTTTTAGATTTTTGTGCAACACTCACAATAATTGGGTCTTGTATGGCAAAATCATTAACTCAACCTCAGTTCATTTCCCTTTTACTTTTCAGGTTGATCAATCCAGTGGTTGTGTCACCCACAATTGCTGCTGTTGGACTTTCTTTCTACAGCTATGGTTTCCCGTTAGTTGGTACTTGTCTTGAGATTGGTGCGGTGCAGATATTGTTGGTCATTATCTTTTCTCTTGTAAGTTTAGTGAAGCTACCTTTTATTTGTATTTGGTCATATAGGTTCAATATGATTTTATTGCTGCTGAACAAGTGAACAGTTTTTTTTCTCTGTTGTGTCAAAACACTTAATTCATTATTGTTGTACTTTCTGCAGTACCTACGGAAGGTATCTATTTTTGGTCATCGTGTATTTCTAATATATGCGGTGAGTTAGAAAGATTCAGATTTATATTGTATTAATACTTTTTACCACTATTGATCTCAGCATATATTTTATGAGGGCAGTGGTTTTCACACTCCCCTTTTCTCCCTGTGTACCCCTCCCTTTTCCTTTGTAGCCTTAGGATTGAATAAACCAAAGGAGAATCATGGGACAAAAGCAAGGGGAGGAGTACAGAAGAGGAAAATGGGATTGTGAAATTCAATACTCTTTTATAATTGTATGCATGCCTTCTGTAAACTAATGTGGTAGAATCTATCTAAATTATCAGGTTCCTTTGGGTCTGGCAATCTCATGGTCGGCTGCTTTCCTACTAACTGAAGCCGGAGCATATAGCTACAAAGGTTGTGATATAAATGTACCTGCATCAAACATAATTTCTGAACATTGCAGAAAGCATGTTTCGAGGATGAAGCACTGTCGAGTTGATACCTCTCATGCTCTAAGATCTTCCCCGTGGTTTAGGTTTCCCTATCCATTACAATGGGGTACTCCTGTATTCCACTGGAAAATGGCCTTTATCATGTGTGTGGTTTCCATTATCTCATCAGTGGATTCGGTTAGTTTTCTGTCATTTGTTATGCATTATACTCTTTTTTGGATATAAACTTTTCTTGGAGTTCATACTTAAAGCTTGAACTTTATATTCTCTTTTCTTTTCTAGCCCACCGTTAAGCACATGTTGGACTCGTAAGTTTAATGAACGTGGCAATAATATTTATATTTGGTGTGAGATGAATGATTTGGCTTTAATTCACATTTATAAATAAGTTTTGAACTCTGCTTGATTGCCTGAATGGAAGGTTTGGACTACATCCTAATTCTAGACTAATTCTTGATCATTTTTCATCTTCATTAGTCTAGCATTCTAACATTGGTCCCATAGAACTTTTGAGATTGAAGAGATTGCAAATTGTAACAATGTAGTTGGTAGGAATGTAAGCTAACAGCAACTCCGTACTAGTCGCTTTTTTTAGGTGAATAACTATTGTTCCATGTTCTGAATTTTCCTCTTAGAAAAGCATGAATCTGATTACATGTATTACTCTTTAAAGATCCCAATTACATCACTGTATGAAAATTCCTCCTTGGGAGTGCCCTCTACACTTGTGTAGTGGAAATATTGAACTAATACTAAATTATTAGATACAACATTAGGCATTATTCTTTGTTCCATCAAGCTGCTTATTTGATTGTCATGCAATGCTGTTTGATTCCTTTGGTTGCTGAATTTGCTTTGTGTATGAACATGACAGGTTGGCTCCTATCATGCATCTTCATTATTGGTGGCTTCCAGACCTCCAACCCCTGGTGTTCTTAGTCGAGGGATTGGTCTGGAAGGTCTTTCTAGTGTCTTGGCTGGTCTATGGGGTACTGGAACAGGCTCCACAAGTTTAACTGAAAATGTGCACACACTAGCTGTCACTAAGATGGGAAGCCGTAGAGCTGTTGAATTGGGAGCATGTGTTTTGATTGTCTTATCCCTTGTCGGTAAGTGTTTGTTAAGCTTCTGTTTTCAATTGCAACAATGAGCTTGTAACAACATAAATATGGAATCTTCTGTCATTTTTAGTGCATGCTTAGATCATTTTGTTATAGCATGCTACTACTAGTACTGATACAAGTATCTGTACGATTACTACTTCGACATTAGTTTCTTTTCTGGTTGGGCATACTAGCATTTCAATGTCAAGTGCATAGTTTGAATATCTAAAGTGGCAAGTTTATCCATTTGGTTCTGGTTGTTTGAAGATTGCAATTGCTCAGATTATTTCTTTGTGGCTTGGGTAATATATCCTCCGCAATCTTCTTTATTCAATTTTTGGGATTACCATTTGCTTATTCTGCTGTTATTTGGCCTTCACTGGTTCTTGTGAAATTTAATTGTTAACATATGTTGTTTCTCTACTGCTGAAAAATATGCTTAAGGTTTGCCTGCTCATTTTAAGAAGAGTTGGAGGCATATGATGGTTGGCGATTGTGATTTCCATGAAATACTACTCTCCGAGCATTTTTTGATGAACTCTTTCTCTTGTTGTTTGTTTTATTTGGGAAAAGAATGAGGATCCTCAGTGGTTAGTTTAAGCCATCTTGTGATTTACTTTCAAACATTTGAATATGCTAAATATTAGTCTTCAGATACAGTTTTTATAAGAAATCAGTTAGGGTACAAAGAGAAAGGGTAGGAGATTACAAAAGGCAAAAGACCCGGAATATATTGAATTGCAGACTTGAAGTCTTTGACACAAGTTCATCCCTATTGAACAAAACAAAAAAGACCCAGAGAGAGAACCCTTGCAACCCTGCTAAAATGGCATGAATTTTCAAGGAAGTACACAATCTTGGGGAACCAGAAGTTATTCTTTGACTGTTGTCAACCAAAAAGCTTCTTTAAGAATGTAGGCTTTGTCTTTGCCTTAGCCTAATTCTTCTCTAAAATGTTTTATAGGTGAAAGAGGGTGTTCAAAATTGTGGTCACTTTTCAGTTTCTAGTTGCATTTCTTTAGATAAGGTTGATTCAGCATGAAATGATTTGACAAGACCTCCATCCTTATTACTAGTGTCTGCCGAACACAAATATCAGTTTGACTTTTTTGGGTCATAGTACATCAAATTAAGTTAATGAAACTTGATGAACATGCAAGTAAACTTTCTAAGTCCTCTTTCTACTCGATTTAGAATATGCAAGTAAAATTTTGTGATTCTGGTCGTTTTGGTTTCTGGCCTGATTGATCTATCCAAGGGTTTGAGGTTGGTCTCAAAATAACTTGATCGTATTCTGTACACATTACATTATTCTATTTGCCAAGATGATAGTAGAATATCTGTGTATTGTATGATCTTGGACCCAACCAACCTTTCAGCTGTTGAAATTGGCTATTTGATCCTGACCATCTTTATCTTTATTAGCAACTTAGAATCAACATTTGTTTTCAATGTTTCCTCTCTCTTTATATGATATCACCACATCAAGGTGATTTGGTATCCATTACCACTTGAACAACTTAAAAGACAACGTTGAATGTAGATTCAAGGGCATGCTTCTCACTGAAACTAATTACTGTTATGTTATACTTGCAGGTAAAGTTGGAGGCTTTCTAGCATCCATTCCCCAAGTCATGGTTGCCGCACTGCTGTGCTTCATGTGGGCGATGCTTGCTGCATTGGGCCTGTCCAATCTACGTTATAGTGAAGCTGGAAGCTCTCGGAATATTATCATAGTTGGCTTATCTTTGTTTTTCTCGCTTTCAATACCGGCCTACTTTCAGCAATATGGCATCTCTCCAAACTCCAACTTATCTGTTCCAAGTTATTTTCAACCATACATTGTAGCTTCTCATGGGCCATTCCGCAGCAAATATGGAGGGGTACGCTTCCACTTGACCTTCTGCGATAAGAAACATTTGTTCTGCATGTATTTGCTTTTCTCTGTTGAATGGTAGAAACGAACAATATTGGTCAACTGACCCACTCTTTATTTTAAGTTTTTTGACTACTAGAGGAAACAAAGGAAAACTAGATAAAATGACTGGCATAGTTTAAGAGATTGTGAACAATAGTATAGAAATCAGCTGCCTTTCTTTATTTGTTCTACTGTATTTTTGGTCTGATATTTGTTCTACTGTTCAAATTGTGTTCATACTAAGGGAATAAACTACTAATATCCCAAAACAATTTGAAGACGTGCTTACATATCATTGTCACGTATCATTTCACAAGCCGGACCTTTCTGCATAATTGATTTTGCAAACCAATAGACTCTAATTAAGATTCTCTTTGTAGGTGAACTATGTGCTGAACACATTGCTATCGTTACACATGGTGGTTGCATTCCTTGTGGCTGTCATCCTGGACAACACTGTACCTGGCAGTCGTCAAGAACGTGGAGTGTATGTGTGGTCTGAACCTGAGGTTGCAAAGAGGGAGCCCGCTGTAGCCAAGGATTATGGGCTGCCCTTCAGAATTGGCCGGGTTTTCAGATGGGTGAAATGGGTTGGACTTTGATAGAATTTTTGGTTGGTGTGAGCATTAATCAGATATTCAAGCTTTTCAGAAACCATTTTCAGGGGGATGATTGTGGTGTTACCGTGATTCTAAAGGTAAGTTCGGGGCATATATTCTTAATTATTGGTCTGGAAACTGTTTTTTCCTACACGAAGGGACTTTCTACTTCTTAGGTTTATAGGTCTTATAGAGATATTTTGTGTACATTTGAGGAACCAGAAGATCTGGTTGTGTTGTAATCTTAGATTAATGTATCTAGTGTTGAGTCATTGGGACCTTTTTCATGCGGTCAAGTGATCTTCATGTATATGCTTTTTTCTTTTGTTTTCTTTCCATGATCAGCTTAGACCTCTACTTTCACGAATGTTGGACTCTCAATGGAAAAAGAAAAAGAAGGGTATTCACACCGAGTGAGTGAGATCTGCAATGTGGAATGTTGTATTTTCTTTTATTAAGTATTTAGACGATCCCTAAATATCATGATTGTGAGATTTATTTTTTATCCTCTTTTTAGTAGTGAACTATTTGTGCATATTCGGATCTATTTGTCTTGAAAACGTTTGAACTTTGTATGCATACATGCCTTTAAATGATGAGATGAGTTGTATATCTAGCGTTTTTGAATACAAGCGATAGTCTAAACTACAATGGGTAGGGGTGTTACTAAAAGATATCACAGGGGTTCGAACTTGAAACCACTTATCAGCAAGTCAAGGTCTTTTTTCACTAGATTAGACCCCATTGGCATTGCATATCTAGCTTTTGGTTGAAAGATTGGAAGTTCTTATGTAGCATAGATCGGCTAAAGCGTCTCAGAGCCTAGAAAGGTCAATTGACTTTATGAAAACTCTTAGCAGAATAATATTTTAAATGTAGAAGACTATGAAGAATGGGTTCTTATAAACCTGGAAATTAGTTGAAAAATAGGAATACAAGAGTGATTCCCTAGATGGTTTTTTAATACAATAGTTATTTAAAGGGGCAAACCCCAAAATTTACATAAGAGAATGAAAGTATGGTAAGGATACAATCGAAACAATTAACCAAAGAAAGAAATAAAAGTCAGATATATAATAAAGACTCGATGAGTGGTGACTCAGATAATTGACAGGAATTAAACAAAGAGCCTTCAACTCAAATTTGAAACTCAAACTCAAATTCAAATTCTGCAATTCGGGTAGGAAAAAAAAAACTAAATTGCAACAACTTCTTAGTATTTTGATATGAAGGAACACGAAACCAATTCCCAACGTTACATAAAGATTTTGAATTTGAGAAAAACTCAAAAATATCAGAAGTTTTTTAGGAAACCAGACTCGAATAATTAGTTGCCTATTTTAGTTACCTTACGTATAAATCCATTCTCATAAATTGTTCCAATTATGAATTAGTATTATATAGATAATTGTTTCCAATTGAATATTAATGTAGGAAAGCGTGTTGACTTGGGAGACAATCCAAAGAAAAGGAAACCGGCATTGACAGGGCACTTAAGAATTTGTATGTATATATAAGCAATCACACGCTTTTTTTTTGGTGTGCTCACAACCTCTCTGTCTATAATGGGGAGAAAGAAGATAGACATCAAGAAAATAAACAACAAGAACTACCTAAAGGCCACTTTCTCAAAGCGGCGTAAGGGACTCTTTCGCAAAGCCACTGACCTTTGCTGCTTGTCTGGTGCCCAGATTGCGATTATCACCTTTTCGCCTGGTAACAAGCCCTTCGTCTTTGGACACCCCTCTGCGGAAACTGTCATCGATCGATTTCTTGGCGAACACGCTTCATGTACAATGTATGATGATGATGATGAGGGCATTGGACCCGTTGATGGTGAGGATGGTCATGAAGATTTAGAAGTCAGCCATGATGAAGAGGATATAAGATCCGTTGATGCTGAGGATAGCCATGAAGATTCAGAAGCCCATCAAGAAGAAGAGAAAGAAGATGAGGCCGGTGGGGATGGGGAAAAGGTCAGTGTATGGTGGGATGAGCCTATTGATGAAAATTTAGGACTACATGAACTTAAAAAGTACAAGGGTTTGCTAGAATGTTTGAAAGAGAATGCGGCTAGTAAGTTAGATGAGATGAATAAAAGAGAATTTTACACCAAAGATTATTTGGCAATGCTTAATTCCGAGATCGGTTCTACTTCTACTACTTGCCAAGACAGAGATCTATGCGATTAGTTTTGTTGGTTTTTGTTTTTGTTAGAAAACTCTAATTCATCAAAACCCTTTGTTGTTGAACAGAGAATTTTGTATTTACTCTCGAATTGAAGCCTTTGATTTCATTTAATTTTGTAATGTTTTTGTTTCATCTTCTAGTTCTAAGATTTAAATTGTTAGAAACAAATTAATGAAGTTGTAGATCTCTCTAACTACTGTTGAATCCATATCGATCGGGATATTACATGCTTGATTTGGTTGAGAAAGGAGAGAATTTTATAAGGCAGAAGTTAAAGAAACTCTCTGAATGTAGGCATGCGGCGACAGACACTTTGTTGGATTGCAACGTTGTAGCTCATACTTCCATCTTTCCACAAGATCTGAATCGCTCAAAACGGATAATAAGTTAGACTCTTTGAGTTATGCCAATTCAGATTTCGAAAAGTTTCAAATTGTTGAGCCAATTTTCTGAAATTTTTCAAAGAAATTCTGAAATTATTGGCCTCAAGTAAGTTCCGAAATTTCCTGAAAATTCCAAGTTGATTGTTTGAAATTCCGAAATTTTTTGGAACGGAATTGGAAGATAACTTTCATTCCAAAATTATTTGAATTGGAATTGGAAACCCCTAATTCAGATCCAATTCGTTCGAAGATCAAGCCTAGACCCTAACCCAGGAACACATGGTGATTGAGAAGTCTCAAGAATAATTTTTTGAGACGTCTCAAGAAAAGTGAAATTGATAACCTAGGGTTGAGTTTATATAGTTAGAAGATACCTAGTCCTTGTAGGAGTAGGATTCTTTTATTAGAGTTTGGATTCAAAATTATTAATCTATGTTTTTTTTACACCCCAACCATTATGCGCCCAAACGAGGGAGGTTTCTAGCGTATCGCTACCGCGGTCGTGGGCTGTAAACATAAAAAGAGTCAAGGATTAGTATAGCGTTGAATCTATTTGCGTAATGTAACAAGACCTTCTCTCATAATTTAAAAGGAAAGAAATTTAAAAAATAAAGTGTTTCCAATTATTACACAAAGGGAACCCAGCATTGATAGGAAAAGGGAACCCAGCATTGATAGGAAGCCTAGTCATCTTTACATATATATAGCATGCAGTTTTTTATTTGGTGCACTCACAAACTTTCTACTCATCAATCCTATAAATAAACAAGGTACTATTTACTACGGATCAAGAACAAGAAATCGACATCCGTACACACACACACACACAAAATCATGGGAACACGTAAGATCAACATTAAGAAAATAAACAACAAGAACTACCTCAAGGCCACCTTCTCAAAGCGGCGCAGGGGTCTCTTCAGCAAAGCCACTGATCTATGCTGCTTGTCGGGTGCACAGATTGCGATTATCACCTTTTCACCAGGTAACAAGACCTTCCTCTTTGGAAACCCCTCCGCCAAAGCTGTCCTAGATCGATTTCTTGGTGAACAAGATTCATGTACATCTGATGATCATCATGAGGAGGGCCATGGATCCACTCCTGAAGACAGTGATCCTGAAGATTTAGAAGCATCGCGAAAAGAGAGTAGTGAAATTGAGGATGTTATGGATGAGGACAGAGTCAATTTTTGGTGGGATGAGCCTATTGATGATGAATTGGGGATATATGAACTTCAAAAATATAAGGGTTTGCTAGAAGCTTTGAAAGAGAATGTGGCTAGTAAGTTAGATGATATGAATAGGAGAGAATTTTCCACCAAGGATTTTTTGAGTATGTTTCGTAATTCATAGATTGGTTCTATGCCATACTTTTTCTGGCTTCTTCTTGAAGCCATAGGTTTCACTTTTGCCTTTCAGCCAATAATATTTTTTCTTTCATAATCAAATTAGAAGACTTTCTCTCATTTAAATTGTTAGAATTTTGAACATACCCAACACCTCGTGGACGTAACCCAATTGTGGGTGAAACACGTAAATCTCAAGTGTCGTTTGATTGCATGTTTTTGCTAAATCTTTATTTAAAAGTTGCAATCTCTAAGCACTAGAACTCCTTCTAAGGGACGACCTACTTGGTCACATTGGCATAGCCCAATTAAGGCCCACAAGGGTCACTTGACCCTTCTCAACATTTTGAAATTATTATATTTATCTATGTTGTCCAAGTTGTTTTATAGCTATACTTACCATTGACCGTTCTCACAAATGTAAATTGTCTACAATGAACATGAATATGATCTATATTTGTTTTCATGTCTTCATATGTCATTTATATGTGTGTGTCATGGATTTTATTTGATTTTCTCGTTCTATCTAAAATCAACTTTTGATACTCTTTCATTATTTTTAGGTTGCTAGAATTTGGGTTATACTTACTAAGATATTAAATTTGTGATATTGAAATTTAATCATTATAATGAATTCTTATATATATTTTCCTATAAAAACTAAGTTCATTGTAATTTAAAGTTAACCCTCCTTGATAGAATTCCTAACTCCGCCACTGCTTGGGCATGCCAAGTTGGTTTGGAATGAATGTCGACCTCGATTTCGAAGCGGTAATTTTGTTGTTGAACCAAATTTAGGCATCAACACATGACATTTTGGATGGAGGAGAGATAACAAGTTGAGATAACGACCATAAATAATATAATTAATAATTTTAATTTAAAAAGTACAACAATAAAGTTGGCCCAACCATCTAGGCCCGACCCACCAAACCCAGAAAAAGAAAAAGAAATGTGATCTTGATAAAAGATGACATATGTTATGGACGGAGGAGAGAGAATAAGTTGAGGGACTGATTCTAGTACAACTGTTTGACTTAAACTGCTTATCTTTGAGCAATAAGTTCATTTTAGCATGATATAT